CTAACAATAATATGAAAAACTGTCGAAGCAAAAAGAAACATTATTAATGCAATAAATCTAAGTTTTACTAAATGAAGAATCAAACTTGTTTAAAAAAAATGTACGACGTTATTCATAACTAAAAACTGTTTTGTACCAAAAATGGAGAGCCTCGTACTCGAGGGTTTCGCTATCACATTTCACAGAAAAATAAAGCTACAAAGAAAAAAGATTAAACAAATTCGTAAGGATTCTTAAACCGAAAATCTAATCTCGTCAATTCTTCAAGACTATTCACCTGGAGTTTCGAACACTACTTCTGTGTTCTTGGAGCTTCTTTGAATTAACAGAAAATGTCACCCGATTTTGTGTTTGTTTGTTTGTTTGTTGTTAAGCGCAAAGCTACACAGCGAACTGTTTTGTGCCCCACCCCGCTCCGTGGGTATCGAAACCCGATTTTAGCGTTATAAGCTCTCAGATTCATTGCTGATTCACCTGGGAGCACGATCTTCGGTTTCAAAACATTTGTGTGCAAAAGTTTACAATGCACTTGTTAGGATGAAAAAAAAAGAGTTACATTTCTGAAAGACAAAAAGAAAAAATGCTAACTAAATGTTGGTATTTGGAGAGTAGATTGGTTTTTCGCGATAGCTATACCTTACTTGTTTTCACGTGGTAGCCATTTTGATTTTAGTTTGCAAGTATATAAACAGACCTAAAACTTGTTGGGTAATGTGTATCTTACGGGAGTAGGCTCATTTTTGAAAATTAATTTTTTGTATATGAGTTAAACAAATATTGTCAGTATTGGATATAAAATTCATTGCACTTATTAACTGTTTGCATATAATGATGCAGTATATATAAATAATCCAAATAAGAGATACAGCTAATGTACATTTTCCCACAATAAAATAGGCCTTAATATCTAACATAACTAGTTTAATATTTTACTCTATAAACATTTGGTTGTCTAGCTGAATGTGACTAGAAACTTAAAATCTGGTATTAAAGTAACCAAATGATCCAGCTGTGATCATTTATTTCAAACATCACAATTCTACATGCATATAGAATTTACACCTTGCTTCAATATAATAATGCTTCAACACACCTGAGAACATTCTGAGATGAATACTGGATCTAACATTTTCTTTCAGAGGTAGTCCCATGATCACATATAAACTAATCAGTGATACCTTGAAGCTTAAAGTCATGTCTCTTGCAACACTTAGATTTTACTGACTACACTAATTCATATTTTTCTTTTATAACGAATGAATGCTCTGAACACTAACAAGCACTCTTTACAAAGCCCTTTCTTCTTAATGGAAGTATCTCATGGTAAATCTTTAAATGAGATTGACAGAGATTTATGTCTTGACTTTGATTCAAGTTGCTAAAAACCACCACACCACATGATTTAACAACAGAATACTTAGGATACTTAAAGTAATCAGTGAACCTTCAGGAATTTTTTGCTAAGCCAAATAAATTATCAAAATACATTAAAAGTATATCATTACCTTATTATACAACTTACACAATCCAGTGAGATTGATTAATTCCTACAACTTCTTGCTCATCAAGAAATTTAAAGAAATCACATTATTAAGGAGGGAGATTTTTACAGTTCAAAGCAGGGAAGATACTAGATGCAGTTGATGCGTCATAACCTGCAAGTCTGTCCAAGATTTGTGTTTTACACAATTTTTAATATAAATTAGTTTTTCAGTTTGAAAGCATGTGAACAAAATTGGTTGGAAAAAGACCTCTTCTACTGGGCTGTCCCTGAATCATACCTTCCATCCAGTCATCATCTTTCGTTCTTTCTCGAAGCACTATAATAATTTCACTTTTTTTTAACGATAGCTTATCTTCTTCATCAGTCTCACAGTCACAGAGTGTTTGACAACGACGTGGCTTTATCAGATCAGGTCGTTTCCTGGAAAGTGGAACAGGTGACTGTTCAATTAAGTGTAATTTGGCCACTGCTGAAAACACTTGTAGACAGACGTTCTGTAGAACTGCCACTGTTCAGTCCTGTCTTGGTTGGCTAAAGCAGGTGGTACCAGAGGTGGGGGAGCTTTTGGTCTCCGCTATACAACTGTGATGACCGACTCTCAAAAGTTATTTTGGATGTTTGGGTTTCTGTTGGTTTTGGGGGTATGACTTTGCAGCTTATCGCATTTTGTGGTTCAGCTGCTGCAGTTCCTAGGTTACTTTTCCCATAAACAATGCTATCATTTGTAGAAACTTTGATCTCTGTTGTGGATACTGTCAGTACTTTTTTATTATCCTTGGCACTAGGAGGCACTGTACAAGGTTCAGGATTAAACTGTCTACAAACATGACCTTTCACTCCTAATGAGGAAGTTGGAGGTACAGGTGGAGGTCGTGGTGCCGTTCGCTTCTTTATACTTTCTTCAAGCAAGAAGATGTCATGTCTTGAAATGGTATTTCAGCAGAAATTTCTCCACAGCTTAACCTGTTTGATGATTCAACAAAACCCCACCTAGTAGATGATGTTTGAGACATCTTGTCATCTAGCTAGCACACTGTCAGGATTATTTTTTTATCTTCTGTATGACCGATTCCCAATGTTCGCTAGTGACTAATGGTGTTATAGCTTCTAATTAAATAATGAAATCTACCTAGCCTTGTTGAACGGAATCACAAAAAAGGGCACGTATACTGGTTATCACTATAGTATAACAAATATTAAACCAAACTTTGTATTGCTTGTGTGTTACGAGTTCAATACAGTCTTCCATAGCAGGATGATGTCAGTCAATTTATTATTCGATTAACTCTTACGGCCTAAAACAATGCTTCCAACCATAATCTTACATACAGCAATGGAAATAGTAACTTACTTGTAATAAGACAATAATCATGTAATATTTCGTACTTCTAATAAATCAACTTTTTACAGTATCAATATCAGTCGATATTCACATGATACTCGATCAGCTACATTTATGGTAAAAGTAGGTTGTGGGTTAAAAACGGAATACAATGGATAAGATTATCCGTATTTCACTGAGAAATGGATTTGGGAACGGATAATCGGCATTACGTTTTGCAAAATCCGGATTTGGGAATGGGTTTATACGCCTTTTGCACAAAAAGCATGTCTTTTAATAAGAACTGAATCTGGATACAAAAGGTATATTTTTTAGAGAAAAATGTCTGCAGCAATGACTTCCAAAAATATATAATGTTGGGGACATCCTGCCCATCAGACAAAATCCAAAGAACTCAGTTGAACAGCATGATAGCTTCGAAGGAAGATCAAAATTTGGGTTAAGTACTAGATGCTTTAGCTAACAACGTCCTAAAACTTACTGCCACTCATCGCCCGCAGCAGGTTGCGAGTATTGTAGTCACCCTTAAAATCAGTAAATATATTGTTACGCTTATGTTAAAGTGAGCATCATAGTAAAAATCTGTTAGTGAAAACCACCCTTAATCTCAACATTTGTTAAACACCCAACCTCCACTTGTAGACAATTATTACAAGATGACAAGAACTATAAGCCCCTACCTTGATAGTTTAGTAATAATTAAGCACCTATTTTCCTTCCTTTTATAGATAGTTTTAGTTTTGAGTTGCATTCTTGATATTATAATTTTTTTTCTGTATGCAATATTATATATATATATACACAAGATACAAGCGTAAATGTATGATATTGTTTCAAGAACATTTTATTGTTGTACAACCGGAAGTAATTAGATGTGCATGGTCTTAATTACTAAAGCCTTTTTGAAAGTTCAGGAAGCAATTTGAGCCATATCTGAAAAACGAGTTACGCTATGTTGGGTTATTGAGTTTGTTAAGCAGTTAATAAGCAATCAGATTTAGTCAGTTTCTCTATTGCTGTCGGTAGAAAAAAAAAAAAAGAAACAGAAATACGAGAAGTACACACAAGAAAATTATCAAGTAAGTGGACTTATCAATTAAGGTCTATCGTTTGGTGAACATTAGGTTCTTTACGTAGAACTTGTAATTGAAGAAATAAAATGCTTTCGTTATCATTTGATAAACTGGATTTTGTATCCTTCTTTTCACCGAATAATCCAAAAGAACCCATCTAATGATAAAAACCATTACCATGGTACGTTCTTATTAGCAACATCATAAAACGTGTAAATTTA